GTTTCAGTTTCAGACACCAATAAAAAGTAGGCCTCAGGAGAGAGTTTCTAAACCATATAAATACATTGTCTACTGTTTTAAAAATCACAAAATAGGGCTAAAAATATACCCACACCTGAGGAGACCAACACAAAACACACAACTAGGAGCCACCATTCTCACAAAAAGAAAGGAAAAGGGGCCTCTAGTGATCTATCTCTCATGTTACATGCACAGATGGCCTGGTGTACATATTCCCTGATTTCTCCTGCCCCAGTGTAAACAAATGCCAACCGATGCTCTAGATACTCACAGATCGGAGTCGATGAGAAACAAGACAGGAAACTGTATGAATGGCAGGAAGGAAGACCTTTTGTGTGCCTTTAAAGAGAAGCTACTAAGTCTAAGTGTGTCTGCTAGGAGATAAATGCACACCAACACAACCACAGTGCAACTGTGCACTTCTTTAACACGTTTCTCATTAACTTATGTGCATGAAAACTCATCACCTCATAACCTATGTGCATGAATACTGAGTTACAGAGTTGAACTGAGGGAAATGCGGTCATGCAGCACCAGGCTTTCAACACCAGAGCCCACTGCGATCTTACCACCAGACTCACATGAGAATGCTGGACAGAGCGAGGCACAACTCAAAGTCTGTGTAGGCTTACATGTCAGTGCACACTAAATTACAAAAATGTTCGAATGCATTCTCATATTAAATATGGGTTCATTATAGTGAAGCAGTATCAAGCCTCTCTGTAATATATTCCCTCTTTCCTGTCCTTGGTAAACTCTGTGTACCTAACCTTAACCCCAAAGAACTGATCCTCTTTTCGGGGTAAACTGAGAAAATACCGGCAAACTGCTGAAGAATTCCAAGCTGGTCAAAACAGACAAATCTACAACAGCAAAAAAGAAGTTTGGAAACGCTCAGCCCGAGTCAAACGTAACCTGCAATTTATTTAAAAACAAACATATCGAGAAATACCTGGCGAGTTGTTTTGGTACAACATTCGGTCTGCTCTTTTTTGCATATTAAAAACGATTATTGATTGCTTTTGAATCAGAATTTTATGTTTGAGGTATGTTTACATGCACTAACTTTCATAAACCTGAATGAATCCAATTCGATTCTGAACCTTGAACTTTGCAACCCAATTCACATTTTCATTTAGCCTACATGCATAAAAGCTAACAAATACGTCAGAAGAGCTTTTGTTTTAGTTTGTAAGCCATAAACATTACGCACGTTCGTCACACAAACAGAGGTCATATAATAAGAGGGCTCTGGAGAACACGAGAATTCGTACGAATTTTACGACGTGGCTGATTCGTAACAATTCGTACGACCTCACTCGTACGAATTAGTACGTTTTTGCTAAATCGTAATTGGCCAATTCGTATGAATTCGTACGAATGACCTACCCCTGACCCCGCCCCTAAACCTACCCATCACGTGGGTTTGGACAAATCGTACGAATTCGTACGAGTGAGGTCGTATGAATTAGTACGAATTGGCCACTTTTTAATCACTTGTACGAATTTGTACGAATTGCTCGTGAGATAGCGTTGGAACAACATACGCATCACACACGCACCGGACGTATGCGCAACGTATTTTTAAAGCCGATTGAGAAAGCAGTCATACTCAAGCGTTTACATGCTTAGTTTTTAAATCGGCAGCTTAAGACATATTTGTTTGATGAGGCCTTTTCCTGCTTGATTTTACATTTATAGTATTTTATTACTTCCTTATTTTTACATTGTATTCTTTCTTGTATTTTATTGTGTTTATATAATGTGTTTGAAATTGTACAGCACTTTGGTACACTAGGTGTTTTATAAATAAACTTTGATTTGATTTGATTTGATTTGATTTTTGTCTTATTGATCAGATTACCCAGACAGCAAACTGACATTGAATCAACGTGAAAACGACGTCTCTCATGACATTGAAACAACGTTGATTTTGCTCATCGAATTAACGTTGAACCAACGTCAGACGCGGCATTCTTCAAAGCTAAATGAAAATCGAAAATTGGTTTGCTTTCATAACGTTGAAACAACGCGTTGATTTGAAGTTGATTTTCCGTTAGTTTTGAAAGAATGACGCGTCTGACGTTGGTTCAACGTTAATTCGATGAGCAAAACAATGTCAGATCAACGTTGTTTCGATGTCATGTTTCCACGTTGATTCAATGTCAGTTTGCTATCTGGGTTACCCATGACCCCGCCCCTAAACCTACCCATCACTTTGGTTTGGACAAATCGTACGAATTCGTACGAGTGAGGTCGTATGAATTAGTACAAATTGGCCACTTTTTAATCACTTGTACGAATTCGTACGAATTGCTCGTGAGATAGCGTAGGAACAACATACGCATCACACACGCACCGGACGTATGCGCAAGGTATTTTTAAAGCCGATTGAGAAAGCAGTTTGAGAAATCGGCAGCTTAAGACATATTTGTTTGACGAGGCCTTTTGTTGGCTGCTATTGATTTTACATTTATAGTATTTTATTACTTCCTTATTTTTACATTGTATTCTTTCTTGTATTTTATTGTGTTTTATATAATTTGTTTGAAATTGTACAGCACTTTGGTACACTAGGTGTTTTTTAAGGTGCTTTATAAATAAACTTTGATTTGATTTTTGTCTTATTGATCAGATTAGTTCAGGTCTACACCCTATTTCACATAGATCACGCTCATTTGGATTGACTAAGGTGTTTATATGGAGGCTTTTCAATCTGATTGATTCATCAATCTGATTACTAACTGATTACATGTGTGCACGTATTGATGAAAAGATCTAATTCATGCACATCGATACACCTGAGAAAATGCACACACATTGCTACCTACACTCAACCGCACACGAGTAGTGATTTAAGGAGAGCATTGTACGAAGTGTATCAGATACCACTTTCACCCTGGAAATGACCTGTGTGTGCTATTGTGCTGAGAGCAGCAGCCTGGCAAACACCCAGAGATTGAGCGCCATTCACATGCATTATTCACCCAACCGCACACGAATCAACAAAATCCACATCACACTGGAAATAAATATGAAAAGCCTTACAGGCATACACATCAGCAGAAGGAAAACAGACGAGCCTCTTCACAGGTGCGAGACATTTTCATGGATGCTTTAAACAGGTGTCTTTCACCACACACAAGAAAACTCACACTTGTTCGTTTGACACAACTGTTTAAACACCCTGGCAAACAAACAAACGCACACACACAATCCCTGTGCGTCCTATTTAGCCAGTGACCCCCCTCACACTCAGACTCTAAGTAAATCATTCAGCCTTTTCGTTAATCGCAAATCGCAAAACTCTTTTCAGAGAACTGGCAAAGCAACAAATCATTTCTTTCCATCTGACTGAATTAACAACTGGACTTTAAGGAGGTTGTTTTTTTTACGTTAAACTGTCTGAATTTGTATGATGTGATTAGTACAGAAACAAGCAATTTTATTATAAAAAGGCTACACTTAACCGCACACCTAAATGGAAGCACATGAATGACATTATTCAAAATTATATGAATTAGCCACCAATTTGCCAAAACGTCAAATAGTTGTCATGAGGGTGTGTTGGCTTGTCCTAAACTAGTCCAAAAAGGAGCCCTGTTAGTGTCCCATCATGACAGATGTTTTACAGCCTTACACCACCATCCCATCTTTAATTGTACCAGGCAGATCTGAGAGAAAGCTTTAAAGAACATGGGTAACACATGACAGTGTCTTTGTTACATGTAGTTATTATAGTAATAACGATAAATGAAGCATAATTACATGAAACTGACACTAAACCAACCCCTAATGTAAAGGGACACTGTATTTTAAGGTGGCGTAGTCACATTGTACTTCAGTGCTGATTAATATTAATTAACTAGGGATAGTGTTTGGTTTAAGGTTGGTAACTTGTAATTATGCATAATTTACTGTTATTACTAGTAAGTACAAGTAACTATGTCACCTTAAAATAAAGTGTTACCGAATGAAGTGTAATCGAACACAGGAAAAAGCGACAAACCTTGAAAACTATAAGTTAAAAGGCTAACTTCACTGTAAAAAAAATATTGTTGGTTTAACTAAAAAAAAATTGAAGTAACCTGGTTGCCTTAAAACTTTAAGTTCATTGAAATTAAAAAAATGAGTTAATACAATGAAGGAGTTTGATTTAATAATCAGAAACTGAAAATATTATGTTATCTGAACCACATAAATTATCTAAGTTGATTTGACTGAAGAAAAAACGTTAAACGATAAATGCATTTATTATAAAAAAAGTCTTCCTGCGTATGTTTGTGTCTGTTCAGTACAGATTTCCTTCAAGGCTATGGCTTAGACAAAACAGCCACAACTACATTCAAAAGAGATCAGACACCATGATTATCTGAAGAACCTAATGGTTATTGTTGTTATAAAACATCAAGAACTTTAAATCTCTGAATTGCCATGGCACATAATCAACTCAAGAACCTTGTAGGGCCAAAAATGATTCTAAGCCTAGGCTAATTGGGCTGTTTGCTGAATCTAAAGTGAAGAACTGAAGAACCAAGAGTGGACTTTGTGGTCTTGCTCTTTGAATTCTTTCAGTGTGAAAGCCATTGTCCATTGGTGACTTGTCGCATCACGTTGGGTATTGTTAACTTGTGTGTAAGAAACGCACAGCCTCTTCAAGCACAAGCCTACCCCCAACACACACACATCGCTGCGTGCTGGAAGCTTACTGGAGAATCACCCTTCGGACATACACTTGCTAACATTCACCATTCAGAGAGAAAGAGAGGTGTTTATTCTATTTCTTTATGAACTATTAGACAATTTCATGCATCTGTTCAGTTTTCACAGAGGAGATAGAAATGTTTAAAAATGAACGCGGCACAGGTGCAGGATGAACGGGAATGGGATATATGAAGGGGTCCGGTCCGGAGCGCATAAATAAGCGGAGACTCACGATCTCGAGTAATCGCAACGAAACCCACATAATTAATACTCACATTGTTTTATCCGAGGGCTGGAGCTGCCGGTGCAAGGCGAGGGAGAATCCAAAGAGGCTTCCCGGGTGACCATTCTTCCTGAGGACGTTTTGCGTGTCCAGGTTAAACGCACTTGTAGAAGTCCATATGAGCAACGAAAAGACGCACAGGTTCAGAGAGAGCCCCTCCTCAAAGAGCTCCATTACCTGCAATTAATGTGCTCGTATGAATATAGCCCTTGTTTGCTGTAGTTCCCGCTGCACTGAGAGGACAGAGTCTGTAATCCGCACTGCACTGCGCTCAATGAGAGAGAGAGAGAGAGAGAGAGAGAGAGAGAGAGAGAGAGAGACCCATGGCCCCTCCTCTCACTACTGTCCCCTCAGAGCCCTACGTCACTATTGATCGATGGACGCGTCTCAGCCGGACTCTCCCCATCATCTTGATTTTTAATTTATTTATTTTTTAATAAGGGGAAGTTAATATTCATAATCGAAATGTGTGCACTTAGCTCCAACACTCTTGTTTCAATTCAACTTAATTAGCCTACATCTATAAATAATACGAAATTAAACATTTAATTACATATTTTTGCAATGTGTTCTCTAATCCTCATGCATCTTGATCTACAATGACATTTTTTAGGAACAGGATTGAACACCTTTTATATGTGTCATTACAGTGGATAAACATCATCATCAGTCTCAGAACTTCGTCTGATGTAAAAATTAAATCCATGCCACTGAGCCAGAAACGGCTAGTGTCTTTAGCCCACCCGGCAGGATGGAGATGTCACAAATGGAGCAACCAGAGCTACACATCTTGATGCTGTCGACCTCCTGACCACTTTTCTCATTGTCTTCCCATCAATTTTGTCCTGATTGATTGTGTCATAAGTTCTCCACTTGTTTATGACTTACTAACGCCTTGGAATTTTTGGTCTCACCTGAGCAATACCCTTCTTTGCATGCAACCAAGAAAATGTTAGAAAAATATTTCAGGAACAGCTGAGATTTATTTGGAGACGCTTTTTTAAAAGTTATATACAGTATATATATATATATATATATATATGAAGAGTTCAGATGCAAAAGCCTCTAAATGCCATTTGAAATTTTCTTTTTTTAATGATGACTTTTATCAAACTTATATATTTAAGTTCAGTAATTTCACTTAAATAACAATAAATAGGTAATTATCATTGCCATTTAAGTGAAATTACTGAACTTAAATATACAAGTTTGATAAAAATCATCATTAAAGAAGAAAATTTCAAATGGCATTTAGAGGCTTTTGCATCTGAACTCTTCATATATATATATATATATATATATATACTCTTTTTCATTTGAAATTTTATTTTTCATTATTTTTCATTTGAAATGTGTAATTTTGGTTTTCAGTGACATTGCAGTTTGGCATTTGTACATCAAAGATGCAAAAATTCTGATATGATTTATTTATTTATTTGTTTTTGTTTTAAAGGAGTAGTACACTTTAAAAAAAAACTTTTGCTGATAATTTACTCACCCCCATGTCATCCAAGATGTCCATGTCTTTCTTTCTTCAGTCAAAAAGAAATGAAGGTTTTTGATGAAAACATTCCTGGATTTTTCTCGATATAATGCACTTTACTGGTAACCAAACGGTTCAAGGTCCAAAAGACAGTTTCAGTGCAAACTGTTCAAGGGCTTTAAATTATTCCAGATGAGGAATAAGGGTCTTATCAAGCAAAACGATCACTCATTTAAAAAATAACAACAAATTTTAAGTTTATAAGCTCAAATGCTCGCCTTGCTCTGTTCTGTGATGCGCGTTCGTGACTCTCCTGTTCGAACTCGTTAATCAAAATGAACAAATCTTTTTCCGAGTCAATTTGTTTGTTTCGTTTGTTGAATGAACCAAATAACTCGGAAAAAGATTTGTTCATTTCGATGAACGAGTTTGAACTGTATAAAACTTAAACTTTGTTATTTATTTTTTAAATGAGCGATCGTTTCGCTAGATAAGACCCTTATTCATCGTCTGGTGTCGTTTAAAGCCCTTTGAAGCTGCACTGAAACTCTCATTTGGACCTTGAACCGTTTGGTTCCCATTGAAGTCCTGGAATGTTTTCATCAAAAACCTTAATTTCTTTTCGACTGAAGAAAGAAAGACACGGACATCTTGCTGGATGACATGGGGGTGAGTAAATTATCAGCAAATGGTTTTTTTTTAAAGTGAACTAATAGAGGGTTGTGAAGACTTTTTATATCTAATGTAAAGTTTGAACTAGAAGGAAGAGCGCGACGTCTAAGGGTGCCATTTTTATGGCCTATATAGGCCCAATTTATTACACTGTAAAAAATGATCTCGTATTATGATTTTTTCGAGACTTAAATCAGTCAAATCTGCACTTTTCAAAGTTTACGATTTAGTTTCATATTAAAACAACAACAAAAAAAACTATTAGGCCTATGTAAATTCTGTCATAATTCTGATGAAGATAAGAAACATCGTCTCTTGATGCGACACAAACGCCTTCATTAAACACCGGATCCGTTTACTGCGGGTAAAGGCGACACGTCTAGTCGATTAGGCTAACGAGAGCATTCTCGATTCGTGCATCTGATCATCCGCTTAAATAATGCAGAGCTGATTTGAGCAAAGATCACTGTGATCCAGCTGAAATAAGATGCGCTTGTGTCCGCCTCAGAGAAGCATCGACCCCGCTGTGTCCATAATATGACGCTCGGTCGATGAAGTGTGAAGCAAATAATGTGATCCTGATAAACCAGAGAATCAACAAACTGAGACATTAGTTACACTGGACAGTTCAAACATACATGTTTTGTGTTAAAAGAATGCAAAAGGCAACTTTAATTAAATAGGCCTACATCCAATTGCAATAAATCACAGAATAGCTAAATAAATAAGAACTAGATACCGATATGAAAAATATATATTTTAAACAAGAAATAATTGATTATTCCAGGCGCCCAAGACTTTTTATCCAAAATCTTATTCAGTGATGGAGACCATTCAGTAAATAATTGCAAAAAAATCCATATAACACTTCCAAAATTGCTTTATAATTGTAAACATATTGGCAGAGAGTACATAAGAACTTAATTATTGTTTGAAGGTATTTGCTCTTCCACCACTGAAACCCCATTAGTGTGTGATGATGCACTTAACCTGTGATTAGAACATTTAGATTTGGAAAAACTCTTCCAAATGAAACAACATGGGATCACGCACACACACACACAGTCATCCGTTCTCATCCAAGCTGATGCATAAAGTGCATCATCATCATCATCATCATCATTTCACCACAAAGAGTATTACTGTAATGGTCTCTTTCAGGAAATTAATAAACGTCATCCATCACAGGAAAACAATGGCTCTACTTCTGATCAATACGATAGAATCGTCCTGCGGTTAAGACATGGTTTGCTGGATGATGGAAGAGTCCACTGTTCCCGGTGTGATCCTCTTTAACCCTTCTGTTACAGTATATTGACAACAATTCAATCCACAATCTGACTTGTGATGCAGCCGGGAATAATATTCGCACCATTTTGGTTCATTTGTCCAGAAGAGTTTCTCCCAAGGTGTTTTTCTCCATTCTGTCACAGATGAAGACTGGGTTCCTTATCTTTGGCTTGCTCAGTTGAGGACACTTAATATTCAGCAATGGTATTGATCCGACTGCTCTGACACTATTTGACAAGAACTGAATTGAGTGGGATGACGATGACATCACATTTCTTTTTTTCCAGAGATGCCTTATAGATTAATTGAACTAATTTCATAATTAATGAGCTTTACACGGTTATTGTTATGAACTAAGTTAACACTGAACTGACTTCAGTTGAATAATGACTGTTTACAACTGTCTTTTTAGCGCAGAACTGGAGTCTGTTTGCATTACTGAATGATTATTTTCTTGTTTATCACTGTAAAGCTGCGTCGAAATAATCTGTATTGTATAAAGCACTATCTATGAAGGTGACGACAATCTCTTTGTCAATCATATTTAAACTTTTTTGAAAATGTAGGTTTTTAATAAGTAACTATTTCCCTCTGGTGCTCTTCGGTCATTTTTGACCAAAAATATATGTTTAGAAGTCTTTACTTCATCAGAATCGTAGGAAACTTGTGAACACAAAATAAAATCATGATTCAAACAATTTTTAAATGGTCCTGAAAAGAATTGACACACTTGTGCTCCACGCGGTCAAAAACGAGCGAAATGAATGGAAAGCGAATTTCATCTAGTGGAAAATATTGGTACTGCGGCCAAACAAAAACTTACCGAAACCTCGTTTCTTGAGATGTCAAGCTCAAATTTGGAACTCAACTTGTTTAGATTTATGACTTTGATTTTCTTGCGGTTTTAGAGTAAAACGTGTTTATATATATATATATATATATAACTATTTTTAAGTTCACGTTTTAAAACCTTTTTCACTTCAGCAATAATCTACCAAGTGTTGTCTTTAGAGATCTAAATAGATCAAACCAACACTATCTCACGACCAATTCGTACGAATTCGACGCATGATTAAAAAGTGGCTAATTCGTACTAATTCGTACGACCTCACTCGTACTAATTCGTACGATTTGTCTAAACCCACGTGATGGTTAGGTTTAGGGGCGGGGTAAGGGGTAGGTCATTCGTACGAATTCATACGAATTGGCCAATTCGTAAAATATGTACGATTTAGCAAAATCGTATTAATTCGTACGAGTGAGGTCGTATGAATTGTTACGAATTAGCCACTTTTTAATCATTCGTCGAATTCGTACGACTTGGTCGTGAGATCGGGTTGGATCAAACGTAAGTCTGTCTAGTGGAAAATATTGGTACTGCGGCCAAACAAAAACTTACCGAAACCTTGTTTATTGAGATGTCAAGCTGAAATTTGGAACTCAACTTGTTTAGATTTATGACTTTGATTTTCTTGCGGTTTTAGAGTAAAACGTGTTGTTGGAAATATATATTTAACATAAAAACTGAAAATTGTGTATTTTTCATAAAAATACAAAAAAATCTGCAACTATTTTTAAGTTCACGTTTTTAAACCTTTTTCACTTCAGCAATAATCTACCAAGTGTTGTCTAGAGATCTAAATAGATCAAACGTAAGTCTGTGCTTTAACATTTATGACAAGATTTATATTTGGAAAAGTGAATAAATGGAATCTTACAACAGCGTAAATATAATCTAGCACCATAAATCCCTAAAAATACAAAATGTTACATAAAAACATTTTCATTTCATTTTTATTCATTTCAATGTTTATTTTT